TGGGATCTGTCAATGTCATTTTCTGTTATCTGAACACCCAGTTTCTCACGCACCATTTTGACGATCACAGCATCAGTTTCCGGAATCTCGACAGGCTTGAGAGGAACATTGTGAAAACGGAGGGAATTGCGCCTCCCATATTGCTCAAGCTCTTCTAGACCACACTGATTTTCCGTAACTTGACTAGAGAGAAGGGCGTTTACTTCAGTATGTTTTTTGTTTTCTTCCTCAAGGAACTCAATCCTTTCGGCCTGTGCAGTGAGCCGGTCTATCAGGGGACTTACAGCCTGCCTTACGGCGTTTTGGATTACAGAGTCGAGGTTTGGGGTAATTGCTTTAGTAACCAGAACACACAGTTGATTCATAAATTTATTGTCATTTAGTTTCGAGGTAATGATTTGGTCCAAGTTCACAGTTCTACCCTTAGATAGTTGAAGTGAAAGTCCAGTAGCCGTATCTCTCTGAGGAGTGGTGTACAGATCAGACTGGGAAAGATCAGGAAGCGAACCAACGGTACCATGCTTCATAGTCTTAGCAGCGGAGTCAACAGGACTCGAGGCTTGCTTCTTGCGTTTAACCGGACTAGTTGGCATACCGAGGATAGGGTTAACAATAGGCCAAAAATAGTCAGCACGGGCAAAGTTACGTGAACACCTGGACTCACCTGTGGACAGGTGAAAAACGTCACTATATATAATATAGCGATAATGAGTTCGGTTACATTATGCTTCAAATTTCGCAAAATAGAACAAGTTCACCACAAAGTTCACCGAGACACCAATAGAGCGTGACGTTATATAGATGTAGTGCAATATTCAGCATCAATACTTATCTGGATATGGTGTAATATCTGTATTAGCTCACTGCCGATCGGTGACACGTCAGGTCAGGTTGACCGCCATATTAGTCTGAGGTTTTCCTTTTCAAACAAGGTTAACATGGCAAATCACTGCATTTATTCAATATATATACCAATCAATAGGGAATTCAAAATACTAAATTTGTATCCATGAATTACAGCCCTTCCGTTGTTGAAGGAGTAAAAACTGTCTTTTTTATTTGACGCATATTGCCAGAACCCAGTAAGTCGCCTCATTACTACGATCCATTTTTCAGACGAGTATTTCTAAGACGGTTTTTTTACTTTTTAAACTAAGTTTATATGTGGTAGCAGTGCAATAATTAAATAAAGAAATATACCGGTCGTTAGGGAATTTAATAACCTAGAATTATGTATTTATATTTTAGCCCTTTTCCTCCTTGAATGACTTAAAACAGTCCATTTAAGTAGTCACGTACTTTCATTTCCCTATACTCGCCATGTTAAATCGAGTCGATTTCAGTCTCTTTTGGTATATTGTGACGTCACTGGTCACTTATTGGGTTTTCAGATTTTTACTCAACTGTTTCCGTGAAATCGATAATTTTGCCATTTTAACAGTCAATTTCGCTTTTATGGTTCATCTTTGAAAATTTTTATTTCTTGTAAAGTGGTCACAGTAACCTATATTTTCATATATATATAAAAAAAAAAATTTTCGCTGAAGATACCCTTTAAATACCACACAATGTTGAATATGTTTATGTTTTTTTCCTCTTTACATTTTATCTAATAATTAAAAAGATAAAAAACAAAACAAAGTTCAAGTGGTGTGATAGTTTTCTATGGAGCAGAATTAATGAAATAAAAATAAAAACCATGCAGGGTTAGCTCAGTTGGTAGAGCATAGGCTCCACGACCAGAAGGGTGCAGAGGGCCGGGTGGGTTTGAATCCCGGCAACAGCAATTTCTTTCCCGTGAAAATTCACCTCTCACCTCTGTTTCAAGTGGGAATGAAGTGGTAACCCCAAAGAAACAAACAAAACAATTTTGCTTTTACAGTCATATAAAGTCTTTATAAAATGGCCACCAAGATACATTACTGATATAATGGTTACTTTCTAAACTGGCATTAAATTCTTAAATTTTTGGGGTTTTTTTTATGTATATCATGTTAATGTTTTTTTTTCATCAAGAATATTAATACCTTATTGGAAGACTTTAAGATTTTATTTCAACTGTTTAACCATAACAGTAAACACTCATATTATCACAGACCATTCACAAAGTAAAACTTTGTAAAAGAGCAGAAACATGTCCAGATAATTTCATTTCCCTTCAGTCAATAAATATCCGAAAATGGTCAGTCCGAAATCAAGCTTGTTTATAAATGCGCACATTAACATGCGGCTTATTAGCACATGAGAGAGGATTATAAAACTTATGCTAGCAAAATTTTGAATGAAAAAAAATACTGATGTTCATTGACATATTGTACACGTGAGTCTGTGAATATTTACGCACTTTTGAGCAGACATAAATTTTTTTTTTAAAAAATGCTTTAATCTATAAGGACACCGCAGGACCTCCTCGTTAAGTTGATACTTAGACCGTCCGCACAATCGAAGCCAAGATTTGCAATTCTTTTCAAAGTTCGTCAAAATGGAAAGCTATTTTTAAAACATATGTAACTGTAGATTCATTAGCTAACTGTCGAACAGACTATATTCAGTTTTGTAAAAATAAATGTAAAAATAAATTTTGGATTGGTGTTTTAAAAGCCTGTCAAAATTTGCATGCTGCTAGTAATGGGAATATAGATAACAATGAAGTTTACTTGAAAACCCCTTTATGGTACAACAATAAAATAACTATAGACAGAAAATCAGTATTCATCAAAGACTGGTATGACAGAGGAGTTATGATAACAGATGATCTGATAAAAGATCATCATTCTGGTGGATTTTATACTTTACATGAATTCACTCAAGTATATCTGGTACAGGCTAATTTTCTTCAATATCATAGTGTTCTTTCTGCAATCAAGAAATATTACTCTAATCCTGTTTTTCCATGTACAAAAATTTTACTTCCAACTATTCCTTTACACTTAGAATTAATTTTAAGAATGTCTAAAGGTTCTAAACACTTTTATAAGATTCTTATAAAAAACAATGTAGAACCTTCAGGCCAGAAAAAATGGAATAACACTTTTAATATAAGTAATTCCACTTGGCATCAGATATTCAAACTTCCTTTTCTGATCACTAAAAATACTAAACTTCAATGGTTTCAGTGTAGAATTAATCATCATATTCTGACTACAAATTCTTTCCTGTTCAAAGCACGTCTTGTGTAATCTCCTTTGTGTATACTTTGTAATTCTGAAACCGAAACAATTATTCACACTTTATGAGAATGTCAGGAGGTCCAAAATCGCCTCGCCTGTTTTGAAAGGTTGTTAGATATTATTACTATTCCTTTTAATTTTAACAAAGAATCTTATCTCTTTGGATTTCTTACGCAAAATTTGAATAACAGTAAGATTGATAATGAAATACTTCTTATTATTAAACATTATATTTACAAAATGCGATGTCTTCATAAATCTTTGAATGTAAATGCATTAGTAAACACAATTAAGGATAACTATAATGTTCAGAAGCATACAGCGGTAAGTAAAGGTGATGCTGTTAAAGAAAGATTCAATAAGGAATGGAAAAAATAGGGAAAACTTGTTAGTCTATAATTTGTATATGTTCTATGATTATGATTAAATATAGATAGCGCCTGACATCCATGTTTATCTTATCTATTTTTCTCTCAATCCCCCTGGCCTGGAGAAATGTTGCCCCCCCCACCCCCATTTTTTTTCTCTTTCTCAATCTCGCTCTCTCTTTATTTATATATGCTCTCTCTCTCTCTCTCTCTCTCTCTCTCTCTCTCTCTCTCTCTCTCTCTCTCTCTCTCTCTCTCTCTCTCTCTCTCTCTCTCTCTCTCCTTTACTCTATATAGAATGTTTTTGAATCTATTTTGTTTTGTCTCATAGTGTGATGGTGTGTGACTTGTGTGATGGTGTGTGACTTGTGTGAATGTTTGTGTAGAACTAGAATCAAAGAAATACTACCATGATAATAAAGTCTCATTACTTATAATGTATGCAGGATGATGTATATGGCATGGATGATACATGATGAAATTGATGATGAAATTGATGATGATAATGATGTACATGACATGCATGATGATAATGATGAAGAGGGAGATGATGTACATGACATGCATGATGAGGAGGAGCATGATGATGATGATGATGATGATGATGATGATGATGATGATGTATCAGCTACTACTATTCTATAATATATATGAATGTGTGTGAAAGTTTTGTGTGGTGATGTATTGTTGTTATATGTTTCTGTAATTTTAAAAAATCTGGAAAAATACAAAAAAAAAAAGATTTGCACTTCTCATGCTTCGTCTGAGATTTGGGAAACGGTATGAACACAACACCTCCCTCTAATCGCTTTGGGTAGCGAAATCGGTGTTGCAAGTTCCCCAGCAGCAACGTTTCACCATTGTCGGAGAATGTCGGAGTAGCGAAACGTAAACACAGAGGCGAATACTACCCGCGATCTGATTGGCTAAACCGCGGTGTCAATCAAAAGCTGTCGATCGGCCAATTATTGGTGCACTGTCGGTGTCTATATTCTCGTGGTAGTAAGGGTGTAAGCTATCTCGGTCTAGTAAACACGTGGGCATAAGTAGTTTGGCTGTAGACGGTAACGGAAGGCTTACTCCCATTTCGCCTTAGTTGTCAATTTCATGGTAAAAAATTATTCCCATTTCGCCTTAGTGCCAAAACCAGGTAGGAAGGAGTCAGCTAAGGCGAAAGGGAAGCTTGTATAAACAAATTAAGGAAGCCAAGTAATTAATTTAATCATGTTTATTTAGGTATATACTAGTATTCTTTTTGCAATGTCATCAATACAAACATAATTAACATTATAGATATATAATATATATTGATACAGACAAGTATACATTTCATGCAACACAATCTTATAGTTAAGCACTATCAATCTCATCATATCAAAAGTTTCACTGCTGCGATATGCTATAATAAATAGTCCTAACATTCAAATTAAGCACTATAAATATCACAACACTGTTGAACTAGTCACTGAGTTTCAGAATGTAGAATGTCCCCATACTGGATGAAGTCTTTGGTCCCATTCAACAGATCAGTCTTTAGGTTTGCTAGACGTTCTTCCACTCCTCTGTACTTCCTTGCTTTTTTTCGTCTCTGTCCACCTGCTGCATATTGAATCATCTTCACCTCGGTAGCTGCTTGAAGTCGCTGGAACTCCTCGATTATCTTGTAGATGTTGGGATGTGCTGTCTTCACTCTCTTCTTAAGTTTATTGTGCCATCCTTCTAAGTGGTTATTGGTTCTGGGTCCTTCGGTTAGGAAGTGGTTCCATGTTGGTTGTGGATGTCGCCCTTCAATCCATGTCTCTGTGACGTAATGAGTGAGTTTCTGGCAGTCTTCTCTCTGTGGGGCATCTTCTAGGGCATGTAGCCAGTAATCTTCAACTTGGTGTAGTGGAATAAGTGGCAAAGCTGCTGCCCGGCGGAAAAGTTTCTGGACTTCGGGAAGGTTCTTGTAGTCAGTTTGAAGTCCATATTCTTGCGTCTTTTTCCAAATGGCTTTTGTGTAGTGGAACAGGCATCCTTTGAGTTCTGCTGCTGGAAATGTCTGAGTGACGGCATTACGAGAAGCACATTCGAAATCAAGGCTAACTGTGCTCGGTGAGAAGTTCAGGTTATGTCGAACGGCAATGTCTTTCAGAAGCGTGAATAATCTAATGTAGGTGTTTGTATCTCTCTTCGGCAGTAATGAGCGGAAACATAACAGCATCAACAAAAGCACGGATGGTGAAGATACTGTCAAACATCTGTGAGGCTGTATAAAAGGTTCCATCGCAGTAGACGATCTCGGCAGAGAACAGATGTACTAGGTTCTCGTCAGTAGTGAATATCAGTATTTTGTCGTTGTCTCCATCATTTGCTTGTAGAAACTGTTCTCCACTGGTGGTCTGGGTAAATTTACCTTCAAGTTGTACCTCTGGTCTGGTGTCTTCTTTCTGCTACGATAGAGTGACGACTTCTTGGCATCAATCGTTGGAAGTTTAGAGGCAATCTCTATACTCTGGGCATCCCATGGAGTTTGGATATTTCTTCATCATAGATGGCTGGTAGTGGATGAAGTTCGGTTTTAACTCTCGTTCGTACGTTGTTCATAATCTTCTTGCATTCTACTGCTGCTCGGTCTGGTAGATGATTGTGAACCTGGCCTATCTTTGTGGGTACGTCATCTCGGGTGCATAATGTAGCTTTGCAGTTTTTCTCTGTACACTTCCATGATATCCATGTGTCCCTCTTGTTGTTCTGGCGATATGTAAAGCCATTCCATACAAGATGTCTACCACCCCTGTTAGTCTCTAAAAAGTCTACATGTAGCATAACTCCTGCCATGTTGATTGTGAAACTGATACTTTAGCATACTGTCAAAGGTCTTTTATAGATAACATGTAAGCTGAGATGAGGAGTTATTCCAAGCTGAATCTCTGTAAGTCTCTGTAAGTGAATCCAAGCTGTTACTGCTAGGATGAACCGGATTCTTACGTTACGTAAGCTGAGATGAGGAGTTGTTCCAAGCTGAATCACAGTAAGGCTAGTGTTATTCCAAGCTGTTACTTCTAGGGTGAACAGATAATTCAGTCTGTAAAAATCTACTATGAATATTTTTGTATGCATATATCCCCAAGAAAAACTATCTCAAAGTATAACTAAAAATATAAGTTGCTTATAAACATACATTTCATTGAAAAACTAGGTTTTTAAAATAAGATTTGTTCCTTCTTTGAATTATAACAGAAATAAGAAATAAAATCAATATTTATTTAAATATATTGAATTGATTTAGTATTAAAATGTACATGTTCCAATACAACATGTAGTTATTTTTATTTCTTCATATATATTTTTTATATCATATATATCTTTAAATCTATGTGGCCTTTTGTCAATTATAATGAAGATTTAACTGTAGAATGAGTTATTGTTAAAATAACAACTGCTGCATGTAATTGGTTTGTTTATCTTTCTACACTTTTCCTAAATTCCCACTTTGCCTTAGCTCAATTCCCCTTTCGCCTTAGCACATTTCCACGTGTTTTATACAAAAATATGTAACTAAGGCGAAATGGGAACACACCTAACGGAACACTAGTTAGGCTGTCTGTCACGTTTTCAACAAGTAGGCGCACTGTAGGTTTTGTTGAATTATTATTTTCTGTTCCCCTATATATCTAAATTAGCTCTTTATTTTCTTTAAGTGTTACTCTTTTCCTGTATATATTTCTCAGTACAGGTTGTACGTGATCACGGGAAGTGATTGCTCAGACAAAGGCAATGTCCCTTAGCTAGAAAAGGCTATATATTTCATTTTGTATATATTTGCTCTACTAGATAATTGTTAAACTCCGTTCGGGGTGGGTATACCCATTTGGAATCGCCAGTGACGACTAAGTCGAACCATAGGCGACACGTTACATTTCTAGATTAATTGAAAAGTACGCTTAATGCAGATAGTTAAATGCAACAAATGTAACTTGAATATACTGCTACATAACAGGCAGGTGGCAACACTATGGCCAGTTACATGCGTTATTTCTAGGCAGGGCTAGTTTGTTAATACGGATTTTGATAAAAAAAATTAAGATTTTTACTTCTATAAGCCTTTTGGGTCACCAGTTTCAACACAGAACAATTCATTGTCGTCATAACATACTGTAGTATATTGATATAACGTACATTAATGACTATACTCAGTAGGAGACTGTGATCTCTTGTTTTTTTTCAAGCATTAGATATTTAAATATTTCAGATATTCTTGTATTATTGATATTATTGCATGAATTAGACACGCTAGAAAGTCTTACAGAATATGTGTCTACATGTAATTTCAGAGTAACAAGAAAGATGAAATAGAATTGTTCATCCGCATAATTACTATCGCGTAAAGTACATTATGTTTCACCCTGTCAATATTGTTCACCCAGATTTATTATTAAGCTTATGACCAGATCATCGTATTTTGCAGACTTGTTTTACATAATTAGTAATAATAGTTTTAAAGAAATAACAAAAATATAAACCACCAATCTTATGGTACATTCCTCCCTTTTAGAAAGATAAATAGTTATTTTTGTTAGTACTAATACATACCTCAATGATACAAAATAAGTGTGTTATTATTTAGGCCTACATTACAATTTTCCACCAAAACCCTCGACCTATACTTTATACGGTCTAACTATTATCGTTAGTTTAAACAATATTTTTATTCAGTAATAAGCATTTAATTACAGACAGGTACGCATAATCTTATGGGATGGGAAAACAAGCTTAAAGCTTATATTAATTCCTTTCCCATGTACATACAAAGACAAATATAAATCGGAAATGGAACACCTAACATCGACATTGGATGAAAAAGTAATATTTGGACATAACAATAAAACATATTAACTTACGTATACGCACATGTGGTGGATAGAATTACAAAATGTAATTTACAACTTAAGTAGTGGCGCCTTAATTTATTGGTATGTAAAAAAGGTTACCTTTCAAAGCTCCATTCAGATCTATGAAACAATACATAATGTACAGTTTTATAATAAGAATTAAAGGACAAAAAATATTAGGTAAAACGTTTACTAAGCTTGATATAATTTTGCACGGTCAAGAATATTTGTTCATTTTTCTGTTTAGAGTAAGTGTCGTTTCCCCATAATAGAGTTTTTTCAGTTAGAGTAATATCTAGTTGAAGTAAAGTATTTTGTCGAATTATGTTATAATTAGCACAAGACAATGAAAAATGGTGGGTACTTTCTACTAACCCGCATGAACAAAATGGACTTTCTTCCAGATTTCTTAAGTATAAATGTTGTTTGAGATTACTGCATTTAAGTCTCAATCGTGTATGTAAAATTTGAAGGTTTCTACTTCCAATATTAAAATAGTGTGGAATCATTACATTTTCTTTTTGTAAAAATCTTTTGATAATCCTGACAGACGGATTTTCGCGAATGTCGATTGGTAAAGAATTCCATAAATGTACTGAAGAATTTAAAAAAGATGTTTTATAAAACTGAGTCCTGCAATTAATTAATAGTAAATTGTTTGAATTTCTAGTATTATGTCTGTGGGTATCTGATACCTTACTTGGAATTAGACTGGATAGATAAAATGGAGTTTTCTTATGATACATTTTATGAAACTGCAAGAGTTTATGATTTTCCCGTCTTTTAGAAAGTTTTTCCCAACCCACATCTTTATACAATAAACTAACACTTGACAATTTAGTAGCACCTGTAACTATTCTTGCAGCTTCTATTTGGATGTTTTCTAAATTTTGACATAAATAATTGGGTAAATTATCCCAAACTACGTCAGAATATTCCAAAATAGGTCTGATAAAAGCAAAATATATTGTTTGGAGAGAATTCCTATCAAGTATGTTTTTTAAATTTCTTAAAACCGCTAGTCTTGGTGACACTTTCTTTAATATGTAATCAGTATGATTTTTCCATGTACCATCATCAGAAAATAACACCCCTAAATGCTTATGAGATTTTACATTAGTTACATTGACATTGTCCATAGTGATAGGATCATAAATTCCTGGTATAGTTTTTCGGCTAATTAATAAAGATTCTGTCTTGTCTGGATTAAATTTTACTAACCACTTATTTGCCCATACATGTATTTTTGAAAGATCATTATTGATGGTATTAATAGCAATCGTGGGATTTTCAACTATGATATACAAGGCTGTGTCATCAGCAAATAACTTTATTTTACAACTAATATCATTCACTATATCATTAATATATACTAAAAAGAAGAGAGGACCTAATATTGAACCTTGAGGTACACCTGCTTTGATATTTTGGGTTTCAGAGAAAATACCATTTATAACAACCCTTTGACTTCTGTCAGTTAAATAATTTTTGCACCAAGATAGCAATTTACCAGAAACGCCAGATTTTTCCAATTTATGTATAAGACCCCTGTGCCAAACCCTATCAAACGCTTTACTTATATCACAGAATACGGCAATGATTTCTTTACCCGCGTCTAAAGCCCTCCCAATATCATTTGTAATGTCTAATAATTGATTTGTTGCAGAATCCCCAGGTGTGAAGCCCGATTGACAATTTGTAAAATAATTTGTATCTCTAAAAAAATTGTAAAGATGTTTAAAAATACACCTTTCCATTAGTTTGCCAACGATACTTATCAAAGATATAGGTCTATAGTTTGAAACAACGGATTTGTCACCTTTTTTAAAAACTGGTGTAACATTAGCGACTTTCCATATAGAAGGATATATACCACAGTCGATAGATTTGTTAAACAATTTAGAAAGAATTGAAATAATAGACCCTGTCTTTGCTTCCTTAATAATTCTTGGACTCATTTTATCTGGACCAGAAGCTTTAGAAGTATCTAACTTATTTATTGCATCTTCAACATCTTGTTCAGTGATATCAATATTTTCAAGTGTATTATTAGTAGCTACATTATTTGGTAGTGTTACATTAGAGTCGTCGATAGTAGACTGGCTAATAAAGTAATTGTTAAAAAGATCTGCTTTTTGTTTACTATCACCATAATATATATCATTTTGCATTAACGTTGGTATATGAGAAGTTTTGGTTGAAAAATTTGTAAAATTGTTAATCAACTTCCACCAGTCACGTGTTGATGTAGACATACATTTTATCTTACCGGTTAACTTTAAAACATATTCATTTTTTGCTTTCCTTATAGCGTCAATACATTTATTTCTTGCCTGTCTAAATTTCTGCCAGTGATACGGATTTTGGGTACCTTTAGCTTTTCGGTGTAATC